TATTGTAAAATAATTTTTTTATATGCTGCACACCGGGTGAAGGATCAGTCGTGTAACATCGACGGTTCCTCCTGTTACCATGGCTACAAACATATTAATCCAAATTTTTATATATATAATTTTTTTAAAAAAAAGCTGGCTGGTCTGGTCTGTTTAAAAGCTTCATGTTATTAAATCTGTATGGTCTTAGCAGTAATATATTACAAATGATAAAAATGCCATCAGATCTATTAACTTTATTGTAAATTTTAGAAATGTTGTTATTGACCATAATGCTTCCAAATGTATAAAAAGTCCTACTATTCTCTTGTAAAGTAGCATTCAACAACTCGACAATAAATAAAGAGTAATCATGTCATCATACACGAATGATTCGAGTATTTTATTGAATAAATAGTACACTTGTTATACGACTACTTCTTTCATAACTGTAGATCACTTGAATCCTCTTAACGTGCAACTGCAATATCCTTGTATTTTACTTAAGCATAACACGGCAATTGTTACCGAATCTTATCCATCGCTAAAGTAGTAATAGTTATATCCTGGACAGTTTGATATAAGTGGAATTTTGTGGTAAGTATGATCTGCACGTAAGCAGTCGAGTATACTTTACTGCAAAAATTCGCTTATATCCAACTACACAAGAAATAACCGACTTATCCCCTACCATCTATGTAACATAACTTTCATGTACTTATTTAGAGCGAAACCTTTATTTTGTGCATTGCTTTTGACATTTAAGATTCAGTAAGATAACACTCAATTACCTAAATTAAATAGATATATGTCTAGTAGGCATAAATACATGAAAAAAGATTACATAGATAGGGTTGGCCAGGGATAAAATTAGTTATACCGGACTTATAAAGGGTAGTTCTGGGTGTAACAACAGCCAAGAACTGGTTGTCTCTTATGGCAAGTTCTTTAGAAATTAATTATTGAGAACTTTCATCGCCATTAGTATTTTCAATTGATCTAAATCTATAATTACAAAGTTTCGTGCTATATATGTCGCATCTGAAGTAGCGATTTATCTAAAGTAGCCACTTTATATATCTAAAGTAGCGCCCTGGCTAAATTATAACCTAATGCATGCTAATTTCAGGGGCTTAATTTTAGCCAGGCGCTACTTTAGACGCAACATATACATATGTATAGTCCATTACATTAATTTTCAAATTATATAATTCAATAATTGAGTTATTTTAAACATAGATGTAATGAAAAGAAAATACAAATAGTGTGTTTAATCTTAAGATTGACTTATCTTTACTACCTAAGACCAGATCAACTTGATTCAAGGGTTTACATTACATCCCTCTCTTAAGAGGGATGGAGTGGAGATTTCGAAACCAAATTTTTTTTTAAAAAAAGTATATTTAAACTGAGTATTGTAGACCACCGAATCCAATTGATTCGGCCTAATATATATTATATACGTACAGTACATAGTATAACTGATAACATTCTATTACGTACTATACTGAATATCTAACTTACAGGCATACTCAATGTATTTATATACATTTCACTTGGACTTGAAAGAGATTTTATATTTATTTAAAATTAAAGCGGGATGATTTACTTGAACCTGAAGCAGACGCAAGTAAACCTAAATAGCATAAAATGGACAAAAAACAGGTTTACTTGAATCTAAAATGGTTCAAACAGGCCTTTATTATTTGTTATAAAAGTGTATTGATTTTGAAGCAAGTATCAATATGAAAATTACATCCAAAAATAAGTGCCCACAGCGATATTGCTAAGGGTTAAAAAAAAACCATCCAAATTATTTCAAAATTATTTTTCAAAGTTAATATATTTTATAATTTTTACTTAAATACGAGCTTAAACAAAATTCCCTAAAAACGATAATTAACAAAATACTTTCTGATATTAAAACAAAAGATATATGTAAATTGTGTTAAAAATTTCGCGTAAAATTTGCGAAAGTTCTTACAATATTCTTTCATAATCTGGCTCTCAATCCAATTCTCATGTCTCTTAATATCTCGCCTAACAAATAAACCAACATTCATTAATTTTTATAATTTATATGGATCTCATGCAAAATTTCAGTAAAAAATAATTACCGCGATTGTCGGTTTCATTAAATCTAGCCCATTGACTAGCAATAGGCGCATACAAAACGCGTGGATCAACACCCAATGTATCAATAATTTTCATACTTAATGGTGCCAATTCTGCAACTAATTCTCGAATCAATGGTTGTACCTTTGATGCTGTTTCAACTGAAATTAGATTTTTGGTGATATACCATGCAAGATTTGTGTCAATTATATTAAGTGCATAAAGACAGCCTATATTATGGACTAGCCAACTAAATTTTTAATAGAGGATATTGAATATATATAATGGCAAGTTACTGTTGAACAAATAATAGACTAAAAAAAAAAAACTTACTGGGAGCCACCTTTAAGTTTTTGAAGTGTAAGAACAACTTGTTCTAATACTATTCTATGGCCGTGTGCTTTAGCTAATGCCTGGACTGTATCTGATTCCCGCAACATCCAAACTTCGAAAATGGATGACCCTTTAGCAGTATTCATGGCCATGTTGGTACTTAGCTTTATATTATAAATGTTAAAAAAATTAATGTATAGTCGTATAAATGGGATTATTACTATAATTGTTCGGAGCGAAGTGTAATATACTCGATATAGATTTAAATACCGTATTTTAGCGAAATAACGCGCATGCGCGTTATTAGCTCAATTTAGACCACAATTCGAAATTATACCTCAACGCGTTATTTCGCGAAAATATGGTATTTACTTCGCCCAATAGATAATTAAATGTTTTTCAGGTAATTAGCGTTGACCATAAGATAATATCAACGCTCCGAATATGAACAATACCGGTTTCCTAGTGATTATTGTTAGAGAATAATTTGAATGATAATTACTTCTTTGATTAATGCTTGTTCCCTTAGATTAAATAATTTTAATTGATTGTCTAAACTTCTTATATCCCATCTTTGCGCATGTTCGGCACCAGGGATACGTGGTAATTTGAGAGCACCAGATTGGACATCAGCTAACAACTCCTTAGAAACTTATTTTTTATTATAAACCACATTTATAAAAAAAAAAAAAAAAAGATTTAAGATTTCAACCTACAATATGAAATAGATTAAATCTAAAATTTTACATACCTTTTTGCATTAAAACACTATTATCTCCCTCAGCTGTCATACCAGCATGAGAGAATCCAATGAAGCTACCAAATCTATTGATACTCAAATATCCTTGTCCACCACATCTTTCTCTACATGTAGAAGCCACACGTTCAAAATTCCATGTAACTAAAGGCTTTATCACACAACAAAGTCTAATGACATCATTACTATTCTTTTCGGTCTGATTTTCATTTTATGGTATATGTAATCGTAAAGTATATTTTTTTAAAACGTATTTGTTAATGAGAATTAAAGTAAACACAGTTTCAGATAACTAGCATACCCCTTCGGCCCATCGAACTTTGCAATAATTAAGTCCAATATTCAAAGCAATGGTAGTGGCCAGGAGTGGTATCAAGGCACGTTGTTGAAGTTGATATGTTAAAATTGGCGTGTCACTTTAAACGAGAAATTATCTTTAAACAAGAAATTATGGACATCTTAAATATTATTTACACACTATTTGTTATCAAAGTTTTACCTCTTTCCAGTAGGACCAACTGCCAACCTAGAATTAGCATATCGGAAAGCGATAGATAAACAAGCTTTCCAAAGTAATAAGACAATAAAAATAAATTAAATGAAAAAATTTTTTTTGACAAAGTTTTTTGAATTTAATTTCTTGAATTTAATTCACCTTTAGTTCCACCCAAATTCATAGCGGCTATAGCCAATCTTCCAGAAAGTAATTGATTGGCAACTTTTAAAAATCGACTGTAAATTTTAGATAATAATTTAAGGAAAGATAGTTTAAATTGACAATGCTCTTGATAAGTAAAACAGATACAAACGCTCGGGTTCCTGCGATTGTGCTTGTAAAGTTATTTTTCTCATCAATATCAGAATAACGATTAAGTAAATTTTGGACCGGCACTCGTACCTGTTAATTTAGTATAAAAATAAATAAATAAATAAAGAAGAAGTTCACAAAAAATAATCCACTACTTACGTTTTTAAACCACAGTTTACCTAGAGTGAATAGAAATGAATTATTAATAAGATATGTATATAATAATTAAGTATTGAAGATGACAATGAATTTAAGATAATGCTTGCCATTATCTACGCCGTTACATTCAAATTTGACACCCATATCTTCAATAACTACACCTTTAGAAATTTTCATGCTAGATCCACAAAATGAATGTGAGATTTAAGATGACAAATACATTCAAGGTATATTGAAATAAAAAAATTTCATTACTCTTCTTCTCTAATCCTGACTAAAATTGTATGAATTCCTTCATTTTTACCACGAATTATAATATGAGCAAATACCACAGCCCACTTAGCATGTACTGCAGACTAATAAGAATAAAAATAAAAATATAATCGACGTTACAATAACTCAAGTTATCATTATTTATACAAATTCATATAAAACTCTCTCTCTTTATAGTTAAGTGACTGGATAAACTAATAAAATTTTTGAATTCCATCACATCGAGGGCTTTATATTAGTAAATTCACTATATCGAAAGTTTTATATAGACTATAGTCTTATTATTATAAACCCTCGATACAGTGAAGACTAATTAAAACTCGATATATCGAGAGTAAGTTGTGTAAATATTGTTAAATAATATAAAATATTACATTTGTAATCCAATACTTTTGAGCTAATGTTGAAGGAGTATTAATAATAAATTCTCGCGTCTGTTCATCAAATACAGCAGTAGTCTCCATCTCTACAGCATTGTTTCCATAACCCAATTCTGTAAGAGCAAAACAACCAATATTTTGCAAATTATCAATTCCAGAAAGTAAATGGCGATGACGTTCTGTTCCAAGCTTGATCATAGTTCCACCAAAAAGATTCCATTGAACAGTCATCTAATAAAAGAAGTGTTAGAATAATTATGCATTTATATAGAATTTACAAAATTGAACAATGACAAAATCTACCTTAGTGGCCATAGAACCATCGACCATACCGGCGATTTCATGAGCTGTCCAATAATTAAACATGTAAAAGAAATTTATTTAGTTTTTATAATACATGAAATAAAATAAATAATAAGATTAAATACCAGCAAAAATATTTAAAGGATTTTTTTCAAAATCATAAACAGAAATAAATCCTTGATCAGCCAGTTTTTTTAATCTTTGTAAAGCAATTTCTCGTTCAAATTCTAGAGAAACATTGTAACGTGGAATATAAATTGGATCTTTAGCAACAAAATCAAGCATCGCTTTACGATTCTTATGATTATCATGTTCTAAAAGATGTTTTATGGCAGCAAAATCTTTCGAACTTGGGGCAGCCATTTTTTCCAAGGTTTTGAGAGAGAAAGTTAACGTGAGACAATTTTAATGACCTCGTGCTTTATATTTGGTTATTCTACAACAACGATGTGTCACAATTTTATTAAATGAGTTAATTAAAAAAAAGATTAGACTTTATATTTCGATTATATGATTTTAAAATTGATGATTTTTTATTACAATATTATACAGATTTAACTACGATTTTCGTTCCTCCACAAAATTTCATATGTTTACTCGAAGTGTGCAGCAATGCGCGATGCTGAGAGTTCATTTAGATCTGGCCAATTAAAATTTGACATAATCGATATTATGTATGGGATTATTGTACGTATAATAATCGAATGTAACTGGTCTGGTTCAAATAGTAGCTTCTGTATAACTATCAACTCTAAACCAAGTTTAACAAATTCTAAACAAAGCCACATTACTATATACAATTCTTTTTTAGTTGCCGAATCGATAAATTGGCTTAACGGTACCCGATACTATTTTGTAAAATCGATTTAGGATAGAAAAGAAAATTGGGTACGTACGTACGTATAATGTTTTGAAGCGCAGAACGAGGTTACTCGGGTCGGTTCTTCCAAATCTGATATATCCGATATTTGCGGACGATCTGGTAGAAGTAGTGAATCTAGTGGAAATACAGAACCAGATATAAATAATATCTTTTGATCATTAGCAAAATTAAGTGTGAAAATTCCATGTTCAATAAAAAATTTCCAATTCTTAAATTCTCATGATTACAGTACGTATGTACCTAATTAGGATATATAAGCGCGAAATAACGCGCAGGGGTGTAATTTCGAATTTGGCCTAAACTAAGCTTAATTCAGGCTATTATTCAAAATAACGCCCCTGCGCGCTATTTCGCGCTTATATGGTTAGTAAACAATACAACAGTATCAATCACAGAAAAACTATTTGTAACCATGGTCTTAACGCTTACATATATATTATACATTAATTTATAAAGTTGGATGGATAATAAGAATAAATTTAAATATACGTCGTCTCTAATAGTGATGACTGAAGAATAAATCGAATAATTATTTAAATAAATAATAATGTTTTGTTAGTAGTCAATTATTAGCTCGCAAATTGAGTTTCTTCGATTGATTTGTCAATAATCATGAATGTTTTATGATGAGCTCTAGTTAAGGATCTGAGTACTCTGCTGTGCTCAACAAAATTTCAAAGCACAGATACGAACACGAGAACAAGCATAACGATAAGAACGGTCTAGATGTACTTTAGTGTTTACAGAATGAAGTGCACAACTTAAAAAATTATAAATATTTATGTAGACACAAGTTGGTGGGGTATTCGGTTCAACTATGTTTGACAAAGCTATATAAAAATCAATTATTATTACATTAAGGATTTTTTTTTTTGAACTTAGTAATCAGATAGCGATCAGGATTATTTATGACTTGCATGTCTTTAGATGTCTAGGGCGAATCGCCTTACTTTTTCGATTATTTTAGTATAATTCTATCCTTAAACATGTTTATAAAGTTACGTTGAAATTTTTTAGTGTTAATATTTAAATTTCAAGTTGACTCTTTACAAAAATTCTGTTTCATATTGTGAACGATTCAAAGAAAGATGTCTTCGTTACAGCAAGAAAATTTAATACTAGAGCATAAAATTTTTTAACGTAACTTGTTATAAACGTGTTTAAGAATAGATAATGCTAAATTAATCGAAAAAGTAAAGCGATTCGCTCTAGACATCTAAAAACATGCAAGTCATTTTTTTTACTATTAAAGCATATATATACAAAGATAAATAAACCCGATCACTATCCTGTACCGCATATAGTTTTGTCAAACATAGTTGACCGAATACCTAACGAGTCAAGAACTTTTGTGTATATAGTTCAAAGGAGCCTATACTTAAAAGTACGTAAATAAGTACTCTGTGTGAACATATGAATATGTGGTAACAAGCAATTGCAATACCGATTTTTTTTCTAATAGATTTTTATTATTACATTTTTCTTGCGTTATACTTTTATTAGTAATGACAATTACTATACAATTCCATAATATTTCTTAGCATATCCGCGAAATTGTTAAAATTCAATTATGGAATACTGAGATCATTAAGGATTTATTTTACTTCGGATGTTTAAGGATTAGTTTAACCAATCCTAAACCACTCGAATTGACACGAATCCTTAACTATCTCGAGATCTGGCGATTGAATTTTAACGATTTTGAGCTTGCTAGAATCCTCTCATCGAGATGGTCATTTTGATAGTAAAAGCATCAAAACAGATTGGTGGATTAAAAGTTATTCGCTGCCAAATATTTTGGAATTTTTAATAATAATTCCAAATATCCGGCCTATTCGAGTCTAATAGAATAATTATAAAGAGGGTTATTCATTGCAAATAAAGGCAGACTCATCTTCTCGTTCAATTGAAATAAATTGATCTCCTTCGCTCTATTGCAGTTTGAACATATTTCTATTGCATATTTTTGCTTGTATTGAACATTTTAATGCTTACGGCTCAACAGCTAAATTGGCATCGTGGTAGTAAGTCTCTCCCTTGGTCATAATATTGCACGTGATGTGTGAATAAGAGGTTAATGACTTCTTAAACGTAAAAATTTTCGTTCAAACGATAAGTAGTCCAGATTTTACTATTATCACCAGAATATACCGGTTTATGACTTTTGATATAGTAACGTCATCACGTTTAGATTGAAAGAATATTTAAAGTTTGATAATACAGTCTGTAAATTAAAGTTTTTTATTACATCAGAGATTTACTATGCTAAAAAAGTGACTCTAATTTCGGCGTTTTATACAAGCCTCTTTGAAACTAAACCAATATTTGGTTTGTCCGTACAGTATTTTCAGGCAAAAGTCGTAATACACGACTAATCATATTGTGTAATAATAACATTCATGGACTTGTATAAATATAAATTGATCAGTAAATATTCTTAATACTTGATTAAAAAGCTAGCATGAATAAGCACAAAAGCTAGCATAAATAAACGAAATTCACATAGGTGTGAACTTTTAAATCCAACATATTAAATAGTCCTTCAATCTGTTGTTGATGAATTAAATCTAACATATTAAATAGTCCTTCAATCTATTGTTGATGAATTATAATAATAAGCAATATTCATAAGTTCATGATATTATTTTTAATAGTCCATAGAGTTTGCATATCTATTTTGAAAAGCCTCATATGCTTTGTTTATTCCTCATTCTAATCTGTCAAAAAGTTCACAATAGTCATCATTTAGTAATTCAAGGGCTATAAACAGTTCTTACTCAAAAAATGTATTAAAATTTTCTTTGGGCTCATATAAGTATTCAGTCCACTTCTTTACTTTATCAGACATTTTATGAGCATGTCATCTTCTACTTGAATTCAAGTTATATATCTTTTCTAATTATAAATAATTCATATCAAATGTAATTAAAAGTTATATTTAAATATTTAATTATAACACTATTTGAAAGATAATAAATAAATCAATTTGTGAATTCTGAGTATACAAATTTTTTCTAATAACAAAAAAGTGTTTACATCAATATGATTCTGAATTAGTAATTGATATTGAGAAAAATAATAACCTAATAATTTGTTATAAATATTCAAATCAATTCTGATATTAAGTCTTGTTTTCATTACTTAGATTATATCTATTGCAAAGATATCAGATTAAATAGTTATGACTTATGTATTGTCTTTGTATTTTGTTTATTAATTAAATTAAACAATTGCACTTTTTTTATCATCTGACATATAGGTTATATTATCTGTTATTCATACTAGAAAAAATTATTTTTGATGAATATTTAACATTGAAGTATGTTAATAAATAGAATCAATAATCTTTAAATTTTTGAAATTGATCATAAAAACTAATAGTACTATCTCAGAAATATATAATAAATTTTGATATTAATTTGTAAATCTTCTTGTTACATATAATTATTTTTATATAAGTTCAGTTAAGAATTTAATAATCAAGATAAAAAGAAGTATGTTCAATTTACAAATTTGATCAAAAATCAATTTTCTTATTCAAAATAAGTTGAAGAAAGATCCAATTCATCTTTAAGTATCTCTGTTTCATAATCATCTCTTGGTTTAATTAAATATAATAATGAATATGACCAATCATTCATATTTTTAAAAAAAATTTGTCTGGTAAAGTTGGTGTTGATAATTTGAGATCTTTTGGAAATAATTTGAAAAACAACAGTCATCATAATATCTAAGTTATTATTAACTATATTATTAGTCAGAAGTTCAAATTAATTTCAAAATATTGAAAGAATTGTGAAAACAATATATATAAATTATTTTAAACCATATACTAATTTATTTCTTAAATTTATTTGATTTAATATTTAACTAGTCTGAATTTTTAGTCTTCAAAACAAAAATATGAACTTTTCAATAATTATATTTTACTAATTTCTAATTTTCAAAGATTTTTTTTTAACCAATTTTTCCTTTATTTTTTCTATTTAATTATCATCAATATATACTAGATTGTTGTAAATGACTTGAAATACTTTTTTATTTCATTTGTATATAAATAAATATAATATAAATTTTTAGAATAGGATTTATTTAAATAATAAATTCTATAAATTACATTTTTGTTATAATTATATAAATGCCAAATAAGAGAATCATTGTATATAAAAATCCTAATCTTTTAGAAATTGAATTAATAATTCTAAATTTCATTATCTTAATAACTTAGATAAATCAGTTTTATTTTATTTTTTCTTTTTTATTATTCTCTTTTATTTCTTTTTATTCTTATTCTTTTTTTACTTCTTTTTTCTCACCTCTTTTTTTTTTATTCATATTTTTCTTCTTTATTCTTTTTTCTTTTCCTCAAAATAATCCTTATTTTTTAATAAATATAATCTATAATAATCATTAAAACAATAAATTAATCTTATTTATCATTGAATCTGTGTCATCTTACTAAAATCAATTTTGATAAGTTTTTTGAAAAATTGTATTAATCTTAACTCTAATTCTAAATCTAACTCTAATAACAATAGACAAAATTATTTTATCAATAAAATAAATTTAGTGAATTGAAATAGACTGCTGATATCTGGTTCTAAATATGATAATATTAAAAAAAAGAATAAAATCTTACTATATATATCATTAAAATCAAAAAATATTAAATATCTAATAAATAATACATATATTTTTTTGATTTTTTTTTTTAAGAGATCATATTGTTTTTTAATTAATTTTTTTAAAAAAATAAATGTTATATTTTTTCAAAATATAACTTATATTTATTTATAATCATATTTTATATTTGCATATTTTACCAAAAATTAAAATTTTAATTTAATTTAATAAAATTTGAATTATTCTCTTATTATAGAAACTAAAAAGACCAAATAAAAGATTATACTAAATACATATTTTTTTGAAAAAAAAGAATACAAAGAAATAAAAGTTATTTAAGTATTTCTATAAACAATAAGCATTTCTGATTATATTAATAGGATAAAAAAATTAATAACCTTGATTTTCAATAGTTTTTTTTACATGTGAACTATTAGAATTCTGATTATATAACTGATCTTGATAAGTAGTTAAGTGTATGACTTAGTAGAGAAAGAAATAATATCTGATTGACTAGCATAACATCTTTTATATTCTTCATCTGACAAAACATATTATACTTATTGTCCCTTTTCATAACGATGAGTCAAGTAATTGCAATGAATCACATGCAAATTTTACTTATTAATTTCTAATAAATATAATTTAACACTTTATAAAATATTAATGTTAACTGTTTAAAAAATAATAGGTAAAATATTAAATTAATAATTTCTCTTACCTATAAAACATCATGAAAACACCATAATCAGGTAGAGAACAAGAATTACTAACAATAAACCGTACTTACGTACGTAGCTAAGGTTTTTGTAAAATCCATTGACAATCAACCTCTAACCAATGTTAACTATATATCAGACCAACCTAACTTATCAACAAAATGACGGAATTGGTCTATATCATAATCATGACTCATTCTAAACAAAGCATCTCGTTTCTGGTGTTAGCGCGACAACGTCGCGCAGCTACCTAATTAGCGATTAATAATATTACTGATCATAAGCATGCAAAATTCAGTCGGAATGGGCCGGAATATGCCGGAAGCGATAAAATTTTCCTAAAATCTTTCTAATAAAGCGATAATTATGCATTAAGTTGCCTAAATTCTAATTATGCTATAATATAATTGACTGGTGTTATTGGCCTAGTTCCAGTCTATTCTAATTCAAAACGTTGGTCGACCTGCTAAATGTTAGTTGCACGACTACATGAACTATTCTAAGTATACTGGTACATGTTTTCGAGAGTTACATCCGAGTCAAAACTACGTCATCAGACGCATAGAAGTATAAATCCTCCGCTTTGTTCCGAACAATCGCATGTGCTACAAGTTGTGATGGTAATACTACAGCTATAACGTAACTAGACAGCATCACCGCACCTCTAATGATTATTATTACCTCAAGTTCTGCGATTGCATCTCATAAGCAGAAAATTGTCTGATTGGCTAATAAATTCAATTTAATTTTACATTATCCATACCGATACAAGTTTAGAGTACTTTTTTTTAAAAAACGGAAACTAATCATAATGAAATAAAAAAAGTTGTATAGAAGGTTTCATTAGAGCTGTAGGACTCCATAGGCAAAAATAAGATCTAATCCTCGTCAGTTTAAAAAGTTAGTATAATAATAACTTCTCAAAACCTGATAAATCAACTTATTACTAAGCTAATTTTTTTAAACGAACGAGAATTACCGTATTTTCGCGTAATACCGCCCATGAGCGTTATTCGAATTTTGGCCCGAATTAAGCTTAATTTTGGCCAAAATTCGAAATTGCACCCTGTGCGTTATTACGCGAAAATACGGTATATCTTATTTTTGACTATGGAGTCCTACAGCTCTAATGAAACCTTCTATATGGGGTTTTTTTTTTACTTTATTATGGTTGATTTTCGGTTTTTTTTTAAAGTACTATAAACTGTATAAATAATGTAAAGTTAAATTGAATTTATTAGCCAATCAGACGAACTTCTGACTATGATATTGCATCTATAATCCTGGAACGCCTGATAAAAAATTAGCCGTATGATTTTTCGGCTGATTCGATCAAGTTTATAATTTCGCATAATAGATTAAATATTATAAGTCTGCATACGCATACGTATATTGGTTGAATACAGAAATATACAGTAGTATATTAGCTGGTAAATAATTTAGAAGGATTATCAGTTCAAAACTGCTAACCATTTAGGTGTTAGCAGATCTTCTATTAAGTCGGGTTTTCAACAATTTCAAAGATATGGATAGTTACTTCACAAAATCAAATCAAAATTTGTATTTAAATCAAATATTGATTTGATTTTGCGGAGTACTAGCTATGGATGTGTTGAAAACTTTCGTAACACATTTTCGACAAATATTTGGAATCTTGAGTTACATTTTTAACCAGTTGACAAATTCTTGATCATATCTAACTTTTTAAATATTAGCACCTATTCGTGTACATATGTTTATTCTAAAAGTTTAATTAAATATCTGGTGCCTTTTTTTATATTTTTGTCAAGGTTTATTGGTTGTCTTTTCCATAAATTTTCGTACAAACTAAACACACCAAACATGTTAAGCAATTGTTCAAACGAAATTTTAATAATAATGATAAAAAAATTTATTTGTAGAACAAGTATTACATATAATATAAAAATATATATCTTTTATATACCAATCTTGTCAAAATCAATAATTTATCGAATCGGCCGAAACATCATTCGGCCAATTTTTATAATTACTGTGAGGACTTGGACTCCGTGATAAATTGGTCTTTGATAGCAAAATGGTCCTGTATATTATGTAAATTTTTATTAATAAACAAAGAGCATTTCGGTCATTTTAATAGCTAGAAATATTATCACGATACGTATTTTGGTACTTGATTCCCTTTAAAGTAGGTTATATATTTGTACTACACAGTGATGGTAAGAGCATCGGACGGACACATGAGACATATGGATTTGCCTTGAAAATCATATTGACATTTCGCTACGTATCTAGACAATTTGACCAAAATATCGGTTTTAAATTACATTTAAGAAGTAAATCGCGGTAAAAGAAATTGTTCGAAGTTAATGTAGTTTTTTTATAGGGTTGTCTCCTTCATAACTATATGATTTTTACATATTTTCGGCATTTCGACATCTGAACATTATAGTAGTTTTCCGCCAATTTTTGCTATGAAATTTATACCCTTCAACTGCGGTCTACCACTTTAGCTTTATTGATTCAATAGTTTGTTCAGTAAACTATAGAATCAATAAAGGTAAATGTGGTTACGTAGATCACGTTAGGTAAAATCCGTGTTTAGCTATGTTTTTTTTTTAATATGCAAAAGCGGATTTCACCCTTATAGGTTTCATCCTGTCGTAATGTGATTTACATATAATTACAAACCGGTATTTGGTCCGAATTGTCCTGATCAGGAAATATCAGGAAAAGACCTATATCTTTTTCGAGAATTAGCCAAATGAACCACTTTTTAGTTTAGACCTATTCAAAAGTTTTTGTTTTTATTAAATTCTTTTTAGAATTTAAATATAAATAACTCTGCAATAATTTAATGATTAAGGATTCTTTCTAATTCTACAAGTTTATATTACTTGAAAGAATTCTAAATCACAAAAATTAAATTATTGTTAAGTTATTCATGATTAAAGTTTTCCTAAATTCTATTGACTTCTTTATACGTAATAATCGTAATAATATGTTATTGTTATCTATAACAAGAAAAAATTACCGACTTTAATTTTATAGCGATAGTAGATCGGCTTTTTTTGATCTACAAGTACTGGTATGCAGTAGCTTAAAAATGATACAGCCTTAATGAACATCAAACAACTGAGTTCAATTTGTCATAGTTTCCACGAAACATGCTAATAAAACTTGGAACGTCAGTAAGTGCGATGAAGCACTTGCAGATCCCTAATTCTAATAGGTCTTAATTATATTCGGATATTGTAAATAATATCCAAAATGGATTTCTTTACATTACTGTTACATGTTCAGAAATCCGATAACTTATTTCCAAAAAAAACTAAAGGGTCAAACTTCTTTTTTTTTTTGCTGCTACATTTATGGACGTTTAGCCAATTCGATGTTAAATAGATCTTTATATTACAAATAGCCGACTATATTTTATAACCTAAATGATCGATATACACGTATCGACATCTGACAGTAATTGTCATTGAAAATAAAAAAAAGTCTTACGAATATATAAATTAGTAAATGTAGTTAAGATATTCCAGCAACATTCTCTATAAATGTTTGTAACCGGGTTTCATGCACAAAGACTATCAATATACAAACACTGAAAAAAAAGACTATTAAAAATAGTAACATTTTCTCCAGAATTCATATATGATAATTAAATAAGGATTCACCAATTTCGTGTTTATTTTGGAGATTAATTCAACTCATAATTGAGTGAATACTACATACATACTGTACGTACATGCACATACGTTTTTGATTAACCATATAAAACATAAAAATAATATAAAATGTATCGGTATTACGTACCAAATACCACCATTATGTTGTTAGTATTGGTACGTACATGTCCAATTGTTTAATTGCGTGTTACCAAATAAAATTTGTACATTACCTACCTCTTTCAGGATTTAAATTTCAAAGTTACTTTTTCGTTTTATAAAGTCTTTAAAGACCATATCGCTCCTTTTTCTTAACTATTATCATCGAGGTTCGTGCCTAAAATAGTCTACCGGTAACAGCCAATAAAACGTGAGTATAGCATTTTATTTAAAAAAAAAAAATTTTTTTGATAAATACCTAAAACAAATAATATTCGAATAATATGTATTTCATGTTTTATTTTTTAATTAAAAACATTTATAATTATGTCGATGTTTGAAAAAAACTTTAAGTATTTGTAACATTGGCGACCTAATAGATTCATTTCTTATTCAATAAACACACTCCTACCGAATCATTCCACACCACTCTTTTCGCTTATGAGGTCAGAAACTACATCAGGGATGTCAGTTTCTAGTGCCGCCGCTGCTGCGATGGCCAATTTGGCTTCTCGTATCGCTGCTTTAGAAAATGAATTAGAAACGGGAGACAAAGACACGACTGATAATATCGACCTTGATGATTATATGGATTCTAATTCCCAAAAGGAAAAAACGCATCTTGATGAAAATATTGATTACTATTCAGACCTTAGTTCTCCATCAAATGGTTCTTTAGATAATTTTTCTACTTCTACTTCGATTACTTCGATTTCTCGTCATTCAGATCTTACAAAATCTGATCAAAATTATTCTCAACCCTCGGGTGCACTTGGTCATCTTAGTAGTAGTGGTTCATCAAATTATACTTCTCGTACACCTTCTTATGATGTTAGTCAAAGTAAACATAATACTGTATTGGATGAATCTTTGAAAGTTCAACTTGAGAAAAAACATGCTGAAGAACTTGAAAAGGTTAGACAAGAATTAGAAGATACAAGAAATAAACATTGGAGTGAATTACAAAAATCTAAAAATGATCTTGCTGAACAATATAAAGAAAACGAACGTATAAGACAAGAATTATTATTAAAACATGAAAATGAAAAAGATTTATTAAAAAAATCTCATCAAGTTGAAAAAGAAAAAATAATAACTGAATTAGCAACTATTTCACAGCTGAAAAAACAGACGGAAAGTGATATTAATAAGATAAAAGAATCTTTTGAAAATGAAAAACAATTAATTCTTCAACAACATAAGAAGGAAAAAGAATCTTTAATGTCTGAACATTCTACAAGGTATAGTAATCTATCAAAATCACATGAAGATGTCGAATCCAAAATAAATCAATTAATTAGTCAACATGAAGCAGAAAAAAAAGATTTAGAAAATAAATTATTACTTGTACATCGGTCTGAAAAAGATAACCTTTTAGCTGAAATAAAACAAAATGAAGAAACTCAATCTAAATTAAATGCTCTTCAAATTGAACATGATCGTACTCTCAAAGAATTGAAAGAACTTACAATAAATAAAGATGATGCTAAAAAAACCATCTCTGATCTTGAACGTAAATTGAGTGATATGTCAAATATGGAGGTAACATCTCAAGAGCTTCGTCAACAACTTGATGAAGCAAATAATGAATTATCTAATATACGTCTCAAACTTTCAAGTCAATTAAATGAAAAGAAAAACTTAGAATCTGAATTAGAAAATATTCAAACTAAGTTGAATGATTCAAATGATAAAATTAAAAATTTGGAACTTCAAATTGAAATCATTACGAAAGAAAAAGAAAATAATTCTTCAAAACATGCCAATGAAATATCAACGTTACGTATTGAATTTGACAATTCTCTTAAAAGTGCAACTGAAAAACTTCAAAAAAATCATGATGAAGAGATGTCTGAATTGCATAATAGCTTGGAATCTGCTCACAAGACCGCTCTTGAAAGCCTTCGAGAACAAATGTCTATACAACGTGAAGAACAAATTACTGCGCTTCAAGCAGATCATGATCAAAGAATTAAATCTTTGAAAAAGGAACATGAAGAAAAAACTATGAAACTTGAATCTTTGAAAAAAGGTCATGAAGAAAAAACTACGGAACTTGAATCTTTGAAAAAAGGTCATGAAGAAAAAATTACGGAACTTGAATCTTTGAAAAAAGAACATGAAGAAAAGATTACAGAATTTGAATCTTTGAAAAAAGAGCATGAAGAAAAGATTACAGAATTTGAATCTTTGAAAAAAGAGCATGAAGAAAAGATTACAGAATTTGAATCTTTGAAAAAAGAACATGAAAAAAAGATTACAGAATTTGAATCTTTGAAAAATGAATATGAAGAAAAGATTGCAGAGTTGATTAATAAAAATGAATCTCTTCTCTCAGAAAATGCACTTTGTATTCGAGCGATAGAAGATGCTACCCGTCGTTATGATGAATTGAACAATAAACATATACAATATACTCAGGAAAACCTTGAAATGTCAAGTGATCTTATCGATCTTCGCAAAAAGATAGAAGAACTGGAAAACAAGAACCTTTATTTAGAGAATGATAAAAGTACATTTTCTAATGAAGTAGGCAATATATCTCAGGAAAAAGAACAAATAATAGCAGACCTAAATGCTGCAAAGGATGAGAAACAACAATTACACGAAGAAGGATTATCATTAAAGAGTGAATTAGAAGAATTAAAGGGTGAGCGGGATAAATTGGCTGGTGTTATTAATATTATGAAGGAAGAATGGGAAAAGGAATATCAAAAACTTAAATCGGAAAAAGAACAAGCCGAGACTGAATGGGAAAAACAATATCAAAAACTTAAGTCTGAGAAGGAACAAATTGAAATTGAACTTAATCGATTAAAAGAAAGTTCAAATCAAGAGAAAGAAATAATTAAAAATCGAGAATCTGAAACACAAAGTGAACTTAATCGACTGAAACGTGAGACGAAGGAGATTAGCGAAAAACTCAAAGTTGTAGAGAACGAGAAGAATACTTTATCAAAAATTTGCGAAGAACATCAAGGCAATATGCAGACGCTCGAGAAGAACACTGCCAGTGAACGTCAAACTTGGAAGCAGAAAGAGATGGTACTATTTCAAAAAGAAACTGAAATAAAGGATTTACGTCAAGAATTAGAAACTTTTAATCAAAAGTTATTGGAACTTAGTAAAGAAAAGGCTTTAACGGACAATAAGGTTATTACATTAGAAGACGAAAAGAAGCGTATTGAAGTTGAATTGAACAAAAAATTAGATGAAAATTCAAGGTTATTAGATCAATTATTTAATATGGGAAGCTCTTCACGTTCCGATGGGGAAGATGGCACAAGCTATGAAGCTCTCAAAATGAGATTAGATGATGTCGAAATTGAATCAAGTATGAAAGACTCTCAAATATGCGAACTAGAAATCATCAAACAGAAGTTGCAAACACGCATTGAAGGTCTTGAAGCATCAACTGCTCGTTTAACTGCCAAGTTACAAGAAGCTGGTGCTGATTCCAATCGAATAAGAAATCAATTAACTAATTCACACATTGAAATTGAAGAACTTCATGCACACATTACTAAACTCAAAGAGCAACTCATTGGGACAAACCGTTCGGCTGGTACGCACATAAATAATAATGATGCAAGTAAGTTGGCCGACGCTGAACAAACAATCAAGTCATTAGAAGAAGAAATTGAACTATACAAAATTTCACAAAGTGAACTAGAACAGAAACTTTTAACACTCAACAAAAAATTACAAGCAGCGGATGATGAACTACATGCAAATGTACGAACATTTGAGCAATTAGTTGAACAAGCAGAAAAAACCTTTCGAAATAAAATTGAAAAAATGCAGAGAGAACACGCTCAAGATAAAGATCAACTTGTTCGGAATCACCAGAACACTATTGGTATGTTTAATAAACAAAAAGACGAAGAAATTGCCCAAATTAGCAAAACAATGCAGATGCGTGTGGAAGCTCTTGAAAAACGTTACAAGGATATGGCAGCCGCTGAATTTAGTGACAAATCCCAATTGGAGAATTCATTCAAATTATCACAATCAGAGTGTGCACGGTTAAATGAGAAGCTTATACAATTACAAATGGGATATATAAATGCGGTTAATGATAAAGAACAGTTGACAAATGCAAAGCGTGAAGCTGAAAAGAAGATCAAGGCCATGGAGCTTGAGCTACAAGTGGTAAATATTTTGTCTGTTTTCTTGAACCATCTATTATTACAATTATAAAACTTGTCAATTTTTAGGTCAAAAATGAATCAAGTAAGAAAGACACTCAGTTACGAGACGTAAGTAATCTCACTGCAGTCCTTGCATAAAATGTTGCTGATAACTTACATAAAATTTCCTGTAGCTTTCCGCAAAAAATATGGAATTAGTTGTTCAAATGACTTCGAAATGAGTGCGAAAAGCATAGTCTTTTTATAATCGACTATATATATATTTCAATATTTTTTTGTAATTTTATTTTACCTGTAAAAAAAAAAAACTTTGTATTATTTGATAAATTGTTCATGTATACATAATAATTCGGATTAATTTTTTAATTCTTAATTTTAATTCTAATGTTTTTGAGGTTAAAACACTGTGAGAATGGTTTTTTCATATAAATATCTAATAAACTCGCTAGTTTGCAACAAAGTATTGAAGATATGTTGTCATTACGATTGTACGTAATTAAAAGTAGTGTCGGTTTTTTTAAAAACAATAACGATAATTGACCAATCCCGATAATTTCTACGACTAAATATGGGTAATTATTTTCGAATCCAGACCGAAATGTTATTACGTCGTATATAAAATTGGTCCGGGTTCGAAAATAATTACCCATATATCGATATCGATTTCAAAATCCTGCTTTCCTTCACTAGTTATGGTAAAAATATTAAATCATTTGATGTTATCGTTAATTACATGTGCTCATTTAAACATTACATAAATAGTTTGTATATCGTGATACGAATGCATGTAACATCACAGTTTAAAAATGTGGACAAAACACCTTTGGCCAGGTATGCCACGAGTTGATCGTCAAGATGTGTTAATAGTTTATTAAACCACGATATGCCAAAAGAATTAGATAACTGGGCGCAGTAATTAAAAAAACGGAGTACGGCACGTATTTATACTATGGCTTAATTTATTTCTGAACGGTAATACATATTGTGATTAAAAATTCCGTTTATAAATCGCTCCATTGCTATAGCCTAAATAAAAAGATGTACCATGGATGTTAATATATTATTAGAGAACTTATCAGAAAAACTTGGTAAAATGCTTAAAAATGCCGATGATTTTAATACAATCATTCGAGTTGGACAGAATCCAAATGTTCAAACGTTTTATGCACATTCTAATATCTTGAGAGCATTGTCGCCTTACTTTAATAAAGCGCTATCGAAGGATTGGGCCAAAAAAGAAGGTTTGATTTTATCGACTTGGTCTATTTCAACTCGTACTTTGATATATTAATTAGAATTTACTTCTCATAAAAGGCGAAATGTTTGTTTTTGAAAAACCGAATGTTTCGCCATCTTGCTTTGAGACGATACTCAAGTAAGCCTTAATTGTTTGAAATTCATAATTCGTTAATAGATGGTTAATTAATAAGTTGATTTAAATTCTTTTCAGATACATATATACAGGAACTTTTAATTTGGATGAAAAAGATACTCAGGAGATAATCGACATTATTATTGCCTCAGATGAATTTATGCTTTCTGAATTCATTCCTTCCATAGAATCATATCTCATTGAAAAACGCTCCGATTGGTTACGCACCAACATTGAGTCAATTATTCTAACATGTTCACAACATTCTACCTTGATAAAACTTCGGGACTTTTGTTTTGAGGAACTTTGCGACGAACCTCGAAGGATTTTTAATTCGCCAAGTTTCTGTTTGTTAAATGAATGTTTTATGATTTCTTTGATTCAAAGAAATGATTTAAATATGAACGAAATTGAAATTTGGGAGTCCTTGATCCGTTGGGGGAAAGCTCAAATTGTATCAAATTTAAAATTGGATGATCCACGAGATGTTACTAAGTATAGCCAGGATGACTTCACAACATTGAGAAAAACCATTGAAAAAATTTTACCATATATTCGATTCGATCATATTTGTCCATTAGATTTTAAAGAAAAAGTTGTTCCTTATAAATCTTTAATATCTAGCGATGCTTACGAAGAAATTTTGTGGAAGTATATAATTGATAGCAAATTCAAATTTTCACCTTCGTTTCAAAGACGTATCGGCAGTATAAATTCTAAAATAATCAAGAAAAAACATGCCACCTTAATTGCAAGTTGGGTCGATCAAAAAGACAGTGCGTATACTAATGATACAATGCCATACGAATTTGTATTGGAAATTCGAGGCACATACGACGGGTTTTCTTATGAGGCATTCAAATACAAAGGAGATAATATAATTAACACAATTATTGTCGCACGAGTGAAGAACAGCAAAGAAGTAATCGGTGGATACAATCCTTGTATTTGGAGACATGATCGATGGAAAAGTTCAGAAGACTTTTGGAGACCTGATTCTAGAAGTTTTATATTCTCATTTCCTGATGGCGAAACAACAAATAATGCAATTTTAAGTAGAATTAATCCGTATTATTCCAAGTATGCAATGTATATTAGAAAAAATAACGGACCAGAATTCGGAAATCAAGATTTCTACATGAGCGGTCGTTTCGACTTGAAAACCGGTGTAATATGTAGAAAAACATATTATTTAAAGAAAATACGAGACAGTGAAGACTCTTTTGCAGTGGATGAATATGAATTATTTAGATTGGTTAGAAAATAACCTCTGCTTACTATGCATAAATATGAGTTTATGATTTAATTTATCTTATAAAAATATTGCTTTCTTGTTATTAATTCTATTTTAAAACTAAGATTAAATATCGCTCATATTCAGTATGGCTGATGACCCTAATGATTTCGATGAACTTTTTTGAATTTCTTAATACATTTTAATACATTTTAATATATTTAACATGACTAGCATGAATAAAAAGTCAAAAAATCGTTAAGAAGCAGTCCGCAGTTAAAGGGTATAAAATACGGCGGCATTTTACTATAACTTTTATATAGTGAAAAAAGTAAAAAAAAACTTAATATCTTGATTTATACAACCGATTTTAACGATTTTATTATCATTAGAATCGTAATGATAATTAAAGATTCAAAAGATGTTTACTTAATAAAAAAAAAATATATACTTTTCATTGTAATGAATCGGCATTCCAATACTATAAAAAATTTATAAGTTCTGACTATGATTATACCCTTTAACTGCGAACTACCTATTAAATATTATAAGCGGTGTTGTTCATTGGAAAATCACTGGAACTAGATCATAGGAAGCATAATAACTTCCAGTAAAGACTTTCCAATAGGTTTAAAAATGTTTAACCCCAGATATTTTATATTAGCAGAATAATCCAAAGGATTAAATTTATTCGAATAAGACTAGTTATAGCAGAAATTTATTAAATAACGATAATTGCTGATAGGATCGATTTTGCTGTCACATGATTCTCGGAAGACAAATGCTGCTAAGTTAAAAACTTCTTTTATATTTGAGTTAGAGTTTAGGGTAAGGTTGGAAAGCACTATATTATAGCAAAATTACACAAGGAAATTTTTTTGTTAAGACTCCAAAGACGGTTTACTAGACTAAATTTTGAGATAAATGCGATTTTTGCAAAGCGAACGTTTGTTTTGGATTTCTTTACGTTACACCTGATCCTGATCTTTGGTTGGCTGGTATATGTCGGAAAATCATGTGACAGTAAAATCGATCCTACGCCCTGGCATTGTTCCATCTTGGGTTGGGTCCACTTCGGAGCCACTCCAGGCTTGCTTAGAGCTGCTCCGGTCCACTCCAGGTTCACTCCAGATTTTTAGGCATATCTTTAACCCACTCCAACTTGGGTTGGGCTCACTCCGGAGTGGCTCCGGAGTATGCTACTCCATTAACAACCCTAATTGCTGAATTGTCTGAAGGACAGACGAATTTCCTTATGTCAAGAAAATTCCGAGCTGCCGGCCGAAAAAATATGGGTCATAGTATATCAAAAATTCTCAATATATCCTATATGTAAAATTTCATTCTGAAAACTTTTACTTAGAGGTCAGAAGTTAGTCATCATAGTAAATTTTTGTGTTATTATGTTTTTCATGTTTGTTTTATTACACAAGATCCTGTGATTTATTGGATCCGGATAGGGTCGTAAGTGACATTCGGCGATCTTCATTCCGAGATTTTCTTGACATAAGGGACATAAGGGTATCCAGAACAGACACGACCAGGGTGGCCATCTAGAAGAGACCATCCCAAATTAGAAAACAATTACCTGAGTCACTAGTAGTTACATGATTGATAAAATTTTTATGTTTTATAATACTATTAGTTCCAATTGATCATATTAATGAATTTTTGAATTATTAAATAATTAAAAGCATAAGATTTAAATTAATATTAATAGTTTGAGATGTGGTAATCTAGTGAAATAAACAGGTTGTCAATCCCAAGTGGCAGATCTAGTATTCAAATCTTACAGATGATAAATTTTGAAAATTATATTTGTGTTATAGTAACTGTTTCTTGTTAATTAGTTAGGTTTAGATATTTGTAATTTTAGATATATTAAGTTGAGTCTTACTTAACATTAAAAGCTTAGGCATCTATATAAGTTGTAACACTATACTATATAAAGAAATATAAAAAACTAAGGTTGCATAAGATTTTAATACAAATTTATAATAAGATTATTAGATATAAAAGATTAAAAAACTAAAAAAACAAGGGTGTGGCGACCTAGTGAAGTGGTCAGGTTGTCAACCCTCCAAGTGGTAGGTTGGGTGTTCAAATCCCATCG